GTGCCCTTGGTCTGACACTCTTTGGTATGCTGCAGAACTTTGCCTCTTGTCAAGGTCAGGCTCCAGGGGGGGCATTTGTTTTTTTCCAGAGGAGCACGTGTGCTTTTGCTGGCCAGCTCTGTGCTGAAGTGCTGGCTCTTCCTGAGCTCGTGATGCCAAGAGGGTTTTTATGTGTTTACTTCCTTTATAAGGGCACCAGCAGGCACCCCACCCAGCCCCAGTTTTGTGTCCCTCGATAGGCTTCGGTTGCACAATAAATCCTCAAATACAACAGTGTCCTTCCCAGACCTAGAATAACTGCAGAGTTGTTAGTGAACTCTGCAGCCAGGGATGAAACTGGTTCCCTGCTTGACACCCCTTAACTGATGGGCTGGAGGATCTGGAGCCAGGGGAGAGGGGAATCCAGGGAATCCCAGCTCTGCTGCAGCCAGCGGGTGTTCCCCTGTGGTCAGGATTTCCTCTGGGGAGGGGGTGGCTGTTCCTGCCCTTCCCACCCTTAGGGCAGGGTGGCCTGTCCCACCTAGCTCTCAGTCAGATAAGCTGCAGCTTGTGGCCTTTGCTGAGCTCTGCTGCTGCCTTTATTTGACAATTCACAGCACATGACCTGGTGATACAGCTGATGCCTACAGAGCAAGGGACACAGGGACCATCAGGAAGCAGTTCAGGAGCTTCTGCCTTCTCCACTGATTATAAAGGGAGCCTGGAGAGATTAGGCTTCTAATGTAGATGCCTTAATTAAATGCCTAAAGATTAAATGGCATGAATCTGACCCCAAATGTCCCCCTAGGCAGATGGTGAATGAGAACTGAACTTGAACTGGAACATGTCTGGAGGAGACCTTCTCAGCTCTGGGAATCCTGTTTAGCCCCAAAACATCCAGCAAGTGCTCACCTGTCCTACCCCAAGGCACATGGACATGCAGAACTTCTTCCACTCCTTGCAGCCAACTTATGGCCTTGGTAGACTTTGATGCGTTTTGTTCTTTTATTAGTAATATAGCACAGGTGGAGAGTTCAACAGTGTCCCTGAAGTCTTGTGTCATCAGAGGAGAAGCTGCCTGAAAGCTCCTGCCCAATCTGAACAACTGCATCTGATCTTTAAACTGAAGGATCACAGAATCATGGACTGGTTTGGGTTGGATGGGACCTTTCAAGGTCACCTAGCCCACCCCCCCTGCAGGGAGCAGGGACATCCCCAACTAGAGCAGGGTGCTCAGAGCCCTGGCTAAACTCTGCAGCACTGCAGGGAGGTCTCCCCAGAGTGGAGCAGAGGGGCAGAATCCCCTCCCTCACCCTGCTGGCCACGAAGGAGGCAAAAAGCAGAGGGCAGGACTCCTTCATGGCCCCAGATCTGTCAGCCAGTTTAGCCTGAGCATGTGAGCAGGATGCAGTAGTTGGGTAACGAACACTGAAATGAAATTCCTGTGTTGCAGACCATGGCCCCAGATCTGTCAGCCAGTTTAGCGTGAGCAGGATGCAGTAGTTGGGTAATGAACACTGAAATTAAATTCCTGTGTTTCAGACCATCCAGCTGGATGAACCTGCTGGGCCAAATTTATGTTTGATGTAATGTCAGCAAGGCTGATAAAGTCAGGAGAGTGCCCCACCAGAGTGGTGGCCTGTGATCCACTCCAGCAGGGACTTCTGCCCAGACTGGCCAGCTGTGAGCATGGAAACCTTCCCCTGAGGAGCAGTCCTGTGAGCCACCAGCACGTCCTGAGGGCAACTGAGCAGCTGGAGACAGCTCTGAAGTGACTGAGAACAGGGTGAGCATGGGCCCACCTACCATGCCACTTGTTCTGGCTTTTTATTTTGGCTTCTGCAGGCAGAGAGTCACTGGGAGAGATCATGCTGAACCAAAACACTGCGTGTGTGCTTGCCCTGCATTCTATTCTTCAGCCTGACGTGATTTTTAGCAATTATCTAAATATCTTCTTTTTAAAATTACTATAAATTCAGGAAAGCTCCTGGCTGGTCATGGTGAGTGAACCCAGAAGAACATAATGAGGTAAATTAAACACCCACTATTCTTTGCTTGGGGGAGATTTTGAGCAGAGTTGACGTCTTCATCCCTGTACTTGAGGCAGCTCAGGCAAAAAGAAGGGATGCAAATCAGTGTTAGCTTGGGTGGTTCCTCCCTTTGATCACTCTGAGTCACTCAGCCTTCATGTTCTTCTCTTGCTTCTTGGCATGTGGCATGTCCAGTGGGGTGAGCAGGTCAGTTCTAGCCCTAGGGGCAAGTTTGGTTGTCCCAGTGCCCTAAGAAAATCTTGGACCATGGGTGTAGGGAGCTCCCAAAATCCAGGGATCTCTGGTGGACTCCTGTCCTTCATATTCTGCTCCTCTACTCTTTTTGAGCTTATGCTGATTAAAATTGCCTTTGTGGAAGTCTTGCTGAGAGGTGAGGTGGGCTCCTCTGTCACCAGCAACCCTCCCATGGAGGGCTCAGCACTGCTCCTGGTGCTGTGCAGGGAAGAGACTGGTGCAAGGTGTTGGTTCTGCTATCCAAAAGTTATCCAGGAGCTCTCCAGGTTATCCAGGTTCTGCTGTCCAGGAGCTTAGAGTGGATCCAGAGGCTTCTCTCTTGGCAAGGCAGGAGGCAGCTGCCAAGCTTGAAGGATGGGCAGGAATTGCAAACGTGGCACATTTTGCCTCTGCTCCTGTACTGGGAAGGTGGAGGCATCCAGGTTGATGATGATGAGCAGCTTGGTGAGGATGTTTTGTGATCATAGAATCATGGAATGAGTTGGGTTGGAAAGGACCTTGAAGACCATCCAGTTCCAAGCCCAGTGCCATGGGCAGGGACACCTCCCACCACAGCAGGTTGCTGAACCCCCATCCAGCCTGGCCTTGAACAGCTCCAGGGATGGAGCATCCACAGCTTCCCTGGGCAACTTGGGCAACTTGGGCCAGTGTCTCACAACCCTCAGAGTGCAGGAATCAAATTTTATTGTAGGTTGAAAACTTAATCCACCATCTGAGTGCTGGTTTAGCACCAAACATTCCCCACGAGCCTCCTGACAGGCAAGCGAGCGTTAGGGGTTTGGTGGAACAGTTCACCTGAGGTCGTGCAGCAGGTTTATGTTAAGAGCAGAATTCGGGAGGCCGTGGCTCAGGGTGCAACTGCTGCTTCTTGGGCAAAGAGCAATGTGTGGCTCAGGGTGTACATCACACTCTGTCCTTTCAAAAAGGCACAAATATAACACCTCCAAACGCTCCACGTGGCCAGAATTCAGCTGTGGTTCAGCTTTCTGTGGGAGATGAGAGCAGAGCTGGTGGCACTTCATCCCTCCCTTAGTCATGAATGGTGGGACAACATCCTGTTAAATGGGAGCAGCTTATTTTAGGCAACATCATTTAAGGTGCCAGCCTTCCAAAGGAAACAGGAAGGTATATCCAGCTAGACTGCCCACAGCTCCAAGCTGCTCTAGGGCAGGGGGTGTTTCTGCCACCTCCAGCACATTAAATCTTTTGTCTGGAGCCATAATCCTTCATTGTGACATGAGCAGAGGGAGCTGTAACAGAAATGACTGTGAAATCCCTCACCTCATGGAAGAGGAGAAGGTGCTCCTGAGGTGGGCTGTGCTGTGCTAATGCTCTCCAGCCCCAAATCCCAAGGGGCTTTCCAAGTGCTAATTAATTAAGAGTTGGAGTTATCTGTTTTCAGCAGCTGACAAACAGAGTGTGGAGGCTGAGCTGGTGTTGCTTGGACTTGAGTAAAATGCAGGGCTTGGTTCCCAATGTAGATGCCCCACACTTGGAGGCAGGAAGGAGGCTGAATTTAGAAGACCACTACACACTCTGTATATTTTTCTTCACCTTCTGTCTTACTTTCCCAGCACACTCTGGTGGGATATGGTAGGGCCTGTGCAGTGCAGTGTATTCTGTGTGTGCTCCTGCCCCTTGCTTCATACTGGCCTGAAGTACATGCATAGATCTTGAGGAACAATTTCTTGCCCTGGAGGGTTGCCCAGGGCTGTGCCAGGCTGCCCAGGGCAGTGGTGGAGTCCCCACCCCTGGAGGGGTTTCCAAGCCGTGGAGATGTGGTGTGAGGGACACGGGGCAGTGGGGACCTGGCAGTGCTGGGAGATGGTTGGACTTGGTCTGAAAGGTCTCTTCCAACCTCAGTGATTCCGTGGTTCTGTGGGCAGCACAGAGGGCTCCTGTCTGTACCCAACCTGCTGTCAGACCACGGGCCAGCGAGGACTAAGAGTGCCCTCTGCTGCACTCCTCCTCCTCCTCTGTCCGTGGCAGCACTCCCCTTGCTGCCTGGGGATAAACAAACCCACTCTTCAACACACAGAACAACTCTTTCAGACCCTAAAGGTCTTTTTGTGCAGAAGCCTGGGACTTTATTTGAGCCACAAACAGAAAGGATCATGCCCTGAGGTAGAAATATGTGACATCCCAGACCCATCCTGGGGTGCAAGCAAAGCACCCCAGGGAGCTGCTGTCCTGACCCACAGCCTACACCCCAGAGCTTCTGGTAAAACAAGCAGCTCCTCGTTGCAGGAATCTTTACAGTCATCAAACTTTGATTTCTTGGTGCTGGTGGTGCAGGGTCAGCCCTGGTCTGAGCACACCAAACTCTGCTTATTGAGGTCCTCAGCTCTCACAGCCAAAAGGGAATGGAGGTCAGCAGGGGAGGGGGGGTTGTGTCAAGAAGGCTGTCCCAGGCTTCATGCTTGCAGACTTAAAAGGAGGAAGAATGAAAAAAAAAATGAAAATAAGCCCCCAGCTCTTACTGGGATGGGCTTTACCCACGTGGGGAGTAGCCCAGCTGCAGCCCCGGCCCGCAGGAATCCGCTCCTCTTCCCTGGAATTTGGACATTTTCTGTCGCACCCATCCCTGCTCGAGTTCCAGCTCGTCACTCAAGCGCGGGGCACGCCTCCTCCAGAGCCTATTTAGAGAGGAGCCGGGCTGCAGCTTTCCCCGAAGAGCGGGGAGGAGGTGGGCAGGAGCAGGAGGCAGCCAGCCCGCAGCCGTGCCCCTCTCCCGGGATGCCTGGCACCTCGGGGACAGCTCGCACGTCGGGAACAGGGCCTGGCCCCTTGCTGCTGCTGCTGCTGCTGCTGCTGGCCTCGGGCCGGGTACGTATCGCTCCTTTCCCTGCGGGGCGCTGCTGCAGGAGAGGGCTTTGGGCTGAGCAAACTGCCCGGCTCGGAGCCTGCTGCACCCAGCGGGCTGGGAACTCCTGCCCAAGGGCACTGGGTCTCCTTTCACCCCGCTCCTGGTTGCTGGAAGCCAGCCCTGCTTTACAAGGGGGGAGAAGAGAGCAGAGAGAGGTGAAGTCACTGAGTTTGTGTCGCTGGAAGGAGTAAAAGTTTGGTGTCCCAGCTCCTTCCCACCACCATCCCTCCCCAGCCACCACTGATCCACCTGTGTGGTCCCCAAAACAGTGACCCCGAGGGGGAGATTAGGCAGCAGCCTCTCCAGAGCAGGATTGGTGCCTGGTTGTGGTTTAATACAAGTGCTTGACAGATTCTGCTCAGGACTTGGGTGTACTCAGACACTGCCAGCAGCAGCAGGAAGGTTGCTGTGGTCACTGCTGTACCTCACTGCAGTAAGTGCCTTCTGGCTTGGTGAGGAAATCAGGTTCCCAGAGCCACCATCAGCTTATTGTGCTGATAGATATCATGAACCTCTGCTTGATAAGGTCTGTTTGATTGCTCCTGGCAGCACCCAGCGTGTGCCAGCCCCTTTCCTGCCCCTAACCCCACTGTGGTCTGTGGGGAACCTCAGTGGTTTGGGGTGACTGTTTTGGCTCTTGCACAGATTCCCACCACCGTGACCCCTGATGGTTCCTCTGGGGTGATATCATTTGCCCTAAACCCGCTGAGTGCCTCAGAAATGGGACTTTTGACTTTCTTTGAGCCCTGAGAATGATGTTTAGCAGATGGAGCAAGGAAATGAGAGCTGTTGCTCCTGCCTCTGTCTCCCGTGTTGTTCAGAGGTGAGAGCAGCCCCAGGGTTGGGGTTGTTGGGAGTTACACTGAGCTCTGCCAGGCTCAGCCTGGGCAGGTCTCTGTGTCCTGCTCTCTGTGTGAAATGGGGGTTGTGGGTCCTGCTGTACAACATGCTGCAGGGACCTGGGGAAGGTGCCTTGAGAGCCTGTGATGGAGGGAGGGCTGGTGCAGTCCGTGGTAACTCAGTGTTTGGGGTAGCTGTGTTCTTGCTGCTTTATCTAGGGCCAGTCTTGAAGTGTGCAAGAGAACTGGTTCCATATTTGTTGCCTCACTTCTACCTCGCAGCACTAACTCCTGGCTCCCAAACCACTCTGCAAGCAGCAGTCTCAGCTTCCAAACGTTCCTTTCCCACCCCTTTGGATGCAGCCATGAGCCCAAACACATTTTAAAAACCCCATTTGGCTTGACCCTCTGAGATGGTTCCCTGGGCTCGTGTGGATGTTGACTGGTCAGGAAGGAGAAGTCCTGAGGATGCCACAGAGCTGCTGCAGTGGTGTGAGCTCGTGTCCTTCCCGAGGGTGTAAGGGGAAGAGGTTTTATGTGAATGTGAAGCAGGAAAAATATTCTCTGTTTCTTTCCCCCCAGGTGACTGGGTTTGGTGCTGGCAGTTGGGAGGAAGCTTGTTCTGGCTTGTCAGCCAAATAGATGGGACCTGGGAATCAGTGATGGAGAACATCCAGGCAAGGGAGTCCTCAGATCAGACTGTTTGCACTCCCACTGTGGCTTGGCCATCCCTCAGGGGTCCTGTGACATGGGGTTTGTGGTCGATGCCAGAGCTGCCAGCAAAGCCAGGAGCAGGGAGAGCTGATATTCCAGGCTCTAGCACCTTCTTAAATCTACAGCCTTGATCTCTACCTCTGGTTCCGTTCTGCTGACCTCCAAGTTCACACTGGTAACCTCAACAGAAGCAAGGTCCAGGCTATAGTGAATTTGAAGTTAGGACCCTGCTCAGTGAAGGTCCAAGTATTGTTCTGGGGACAGATCCTTCTGCAGAGGGAAGAGGATGAAATGTTCTCAGGGTGGAGTCTTTCCTCCCCCAGATGGGTGGCATGTTACCTGGAAATGTTGGTCTTGGTGTTACTTCTGGGTCTGTAGCAGAGCCCTGAGTGTGACTCCTTGCAGTTCCTTGGGACACTTTGGGCAGTTTCCACACTGCATTGAAATGATTCCTAGGAGCAGTCCTTGAAAAGAATGCAGGGTGGAGGGTGCTCCATGCAGATAATCCCAAATAATCCTTTATTGAACCACTCTGAAATTGCTGTGAAAGCAAATTGTGGACTCGAGGAAGCTGACTCAACACTGACTCTCTACCAGCTGCTCCAGCTCCAGACGTTCCCCTCACCAGCCAGTTATTCAGTGCTCAGTGATGAGCGTGCAGGAGCCAAAAAAGATTTCGGCTCATCCTCTCCTCTCCTGGGCCCATTAGAGGAGCAGGAGTTATAAACAGCATGAGCTGGCTTTGCTCAGTGAGAAAACAAACCAACCAGAGCCCAGCACCCCCTGGGACCAGGTGGACTGGAGCTACCTGAGCAGGCTGGAGGGAAAATCTTGAAGGAGTGGAAAGAGCCCTTCAAATTTGGATGAGTTGGATCTTTTAAGCCACATTTCTGCTCGTTGATGGGGGAAATGAGGCAGAGCAGAGGCAGGGGGGCAGAGTGGTGATATGTCAGATCTGAATCCAGATGTTCCCGTGCTGAAAAGCAGCTGTAATGTACTGAGGAGGTTGTGAGCTGAAGGGAAAACCAGGTGGTCTGGTTTCTGTGGGTGAGTTATTAAAGGAAATAGCGACAACAATGATTAATGAAGGAGAGAGAGAGGAGGAAAACTCAGTTGAGTTTAATTCCCTTGCATCCCCTGTTATCCTTCAAGAGGCTGGTGTGGTTTTCAGGAGGAGAGCTCTTTTGAGAGTGGTTCTTTATCCAGCCTGTGGCTGCCACTGCATTGGAAAATGCTCGTTGTCATGATATTTAAGTGCATGGGTTGCAACTTAACCTAGGTGCTGTGTTAGGAGTGTTTTCCTTGTGCTCTCACACCCCCTCACCCCCTCCATGGTCGAGCAGTGCATCCTTTTGGCAGCTACAGCGGCTGCATAGCTGAAAAAAAAACCAGTAGGAAAGCACCTCTGTATTTTTAGTGTCTTTTAAGAGATCCCTGTGACACGGCAGCTCCGTGGAGAACAGCTGGGCTGCAGGCACCAGAGCTTGCTGCCAAAAGCCTTTGTGCTGGGAGCTTTCAGGCAGTGCTGGGCAGGGTGAGACTCTGGGAGGACTCGTGAGCCGAGGTTGGGGCTGATCCCTGTCCTGCACCACGCTGTGCTGACAGCTACAGGAGGATGAAGCAGTTGGCATCTTCTGACTCCACGTGAGCTGAAGTCAGAGCAGCTGTTTCGAGCAACAGTCAAAACAGCTGGAAAAGTTTTACTGCTGTTATTGGTGACAAAGCCCACATCCAAGGGAGCTGTTTCACAAGCAGTGGTGGGATGGGATATAACAAGTGCTAACAGAGCTGTAGGGAGATTTTTTTTTTACCTCTGTTCCAAGTTTTCTTCCCCTCCTGCCCACCCCCAGGTTCTTTGCAGCTGCTGGGTGGGAGTTTTAGGATAAAGGAGGGAGATTTAGACTAGAGAGAAGGAAGAGATTTTTGACACTGAGGGTGGTGAGCCCCTGGCCCAGGCTGCCCAGAGAGGTGGTCGCTGCCCCATCCCTGGAACCATTCCAGGAGCGGTTGGCCGGGGCTCTGAGCACCCTGCTCTAGCTGGGGATGTCCCTGCTCCCTGCAGGGGGTTGGACCAGGTGACCTTGAAAGGTCCCTTCCCACCCAGAGCATTCCATGACTCTATGATCCATGCAGAGGCTGTGTCAGCTCCACAGCAGCAGCTGCCCCTGGGGTGGGAGCTGCCCCATGTCCAGCAGCACACAGCAAACTGGGGTGGTGCTCCTGCATCCCTCAGAACCACCTGGAATTTTAGTGGGCAGAGGCTGAACAGGAAACCAGGCTAGAGTTGGCACCTCGATGTCTCTGAGGAGGCTCTTCAGCCACCGTGTGCTCTGCAGCTTTCACAGTTGTGGCTTTGTACCTGGGCACAGCCAGAGCTGAGGCTGCTGACTCTGCACCAAGCTGATTCCAGAGAAGGATGCCCCAGACTGAGTTCCTGGAGTGTTTGAAGCATCTTGGGGTTTCTGGAGAAGGTGACCCTCCTTCAGACATAGCCTGACCTCTGGTTAGCATCTGAAGTGGTGTAAAAGCCAAGGGTGGGTTGGAGATGTGGCCAGCACTTCTGAAACACCACCGAGTGGGGCAGATCCACAAGGTCCCAAGGAAGGCTGGTGAGGCTGTGTTCTCTGGAAAGGCAAGAGGAGAGGGCACATCTCTGGGAATTCCCACACCTCTGGGAATAACAAAGAAAGTGTGAGATCCCAGGGACAAAATGGGGCTCGGGAGCTTTTGGGTTGGTTTTCAGCGCTGGCTGACTCGGGGCAAGTCCTTTCACTCAGTGTCTTGCTTTTGCCACCTTGGGACTGGCTCTGCTGCTCTGAATGCTCTGATGGTTCCTCCTGAGCCACCTCTGGAAGAGCTGGGAATTCCTCCAGTTCAGGATGACTATCTTGTTGCTTCCAGGGAAGCAGGGGCTGAGCTGCACATGGGACTCCAAGCTACTACTTGTCCTGGGTGCTTTGGCCCTGCTTCCCAGAGGCACCTTTTCTTTCTCCCCCTTATCTCCAGATGAGTAAGGGATGAGCAAAAGATTAGTCTGGCAAGTCCTCAGGAGCTGCACGCCCGTCCCTCAGCAGCTCTGTGGTGGAGGGTGAAGCTGCTCTTCCCTCTTCTTGCCTCAGTGTCTGTGCTTGAAGAAGAATCTTGTTTTTCATCTCCCTGCCTGGCTGGCTTGTGGGAGACTCATTCTCTCCATGGCTTGTTTGCCCTCCAGGTAGAACCACAGGCCTGCACGTATCCATGCCAGTGTCCCTCCCAGCCTCTGCAGTGCCCTGCTGGCACCAGCCACGTCTTGGATGCTTGTGGTTGCTGCAAGGTGTGTGCCAGGCAGCTGGGTGAGCTCTGCTCCCTGCAGAAACCCTGCGACCATCACAAGGGGCTCTACTGCGACTTCTCCAAGATCCACAGAGGCAGTGGGATCTGCCTGGGTGAGAGCTCTGTGTGCTGCTATTGTGCTGTCATTGTGCTGTTTTCTCACGGCCCCTTCTGCCCACAGACCTCCCAGAAAACTGATGGCACCGTCAGAATTCCCTGCAGTGCTGGGAGCTTCATCCAGCATCACGGTGTGAGACCTGTGCCAGCCCCATGAGCCAACAGATTCACTGATACCAACACACAGGCAACCCAAATCCTCCTGCAGAGAAGGTTTCCAAAGGCACAGGGTGGGGGTGGGACTCTCCTTCATTCCTGTGACACAGAAATATGGAATAGAATCACAGAATCGTTTTGGTTGGAAGGGACCTTTCAGATCCTGGAGTCCAACCATCCCCCAGCACTGCCAGGTCCCCACTGCCCCGTGTCCCTCACACCACATCTCCAGGGCTTGGAAACCCCTCCAGGGGTGGGGACTCCACCACTGCCCTGGGCAGCATCTTCCAGGGTTTGACAAACCTTTCAGAGAAAAAATTGTTCCTCGTGTCCATCCTAAAACTCCTCTGGGGCAACTTGAGGCCATTTCCTCTTGTCCTGTCCCTTGTCCCTTGGGAGAAGAGCCGGACCCACCCCTGGCTCCAGGCTCCTGTCAGGAGCTGTGCAGAGCCAGAAGGTCTCCCCTGAGCCTCCTTTGCTCCAGGCTCAGCACCCCCAGCTCCCTCAGCTGCTCCTCCCCACACTTGGGCTCTAGACCCTTCCCCAGCAGCTTCGTTGTCCTTCTCTGGCCACGCTCCAGCCCCTGAAGGTCCATATTTGAGTGAGGGCTCCAAAACTGAACTCAGAATTTGCAGTATGGCCTCCCCAGTGCCAAGTCCAGGGGGACAATCTCTTCCCTAGTCCTGCTGGCCACACTAGTGCTGATCCACACCAGCCTGCTGGTGGCTTTCATGGCTACCTGGGCAAGACATCGTTAGGAGACATCCTCTAGCTCTGTAGTGCCTGTGGGTAAATATCAGCAGTCTTTCAGGACTTTCAGGACTTCAAGGGACCTGTCAGAAAGCTGGGGACAGACTTTTGAGCAGGGCCTGTTGGGACAGGACAAGATGGGTTGGTATGAAACGGTATGAAACTCAAATAGGGAGATTTGGACTAGAGAGAAGGAAGAGATTTTTGCTGCTGAGGGTGGTGAGCCCCTGGCCCAGGCTGCCCAGAGAGGTGGTCGCTGCCCCATCCCTGGAACCATCCCAGGGGAGGTTGGCCGGGGCTCTGAGCACCCTGCTCTAGCTGGGGATGTCCCTGTCCCTGCAGGGGGGTTGGACTGGGTGACCTTTCAAGGTCCCTTCTTACCTAAACCATTCCATGACTCACTGAATTCATTCTATCTGCAGAGACCTTGGGGTGTCAGAAGGGAAGGGATGATCCCACGGTAGCTCTAGAGCAGGAGAGCCTGAGGGTGGTGGGGTGGCCGGGGGGGACCTGGCAGGGCTGTGGCACCAGGAGCAGCTCCCTTGAGCTCTGCCACATTCCCCATGGAGAAGGGCAGGAGTCCCTTGGCTGGACGTGGGGTTTGGAGGCAGGAGGTGGCAGTGGTGCCAAGCAGAGCTGGTACAGAGCCGACTCACTGCGCTGGCACAGCCCATTTTGGTGCTTTAGTTGGATGAGGTCAGTGGGAAGGTGAGGTCATTGGAGGGTAATGAAGGGCACCACAAAAGGATTGAGCTTTGGAAACACAACCACCCCCCGAGCAGGGTGGGAGGAGTGCTGCTGAGGGAACAGCACGGCCAGTTCATCAGGACAGGAGAGGACTTGGGCTGAAAAACAGAAAGAGGGTTTAAAAATAAGTATGAATGGTTGTGTAGAGGGAGAGTCAATGGCTTCCACTTCAGTGGAAAAAGTGAGGAGTTTGAGACTTCCAAGTGGGAGCCCAGGAGTATTTTTATACCGATGGCATTGAAAAGAGTTGAAGCTGAGATCCAGCTCTGGTTAGCAGCAGCCCGGAAGGATTTGTGTCCCCTCAAGGACTAGGTGGGATGGAAAGAGGCCCTCACGCCTTGTTTGGTCCAAACACTCTGTCTGAGACAATGTTCCATGGGTGAGCAGGACCGAGGGGAAAATAGATCAGGTTTCCTGGTAAGCCTCTGTGAGCAGCCAAGAATCCTCCTTTTTGGGAGCTTCCCAAAGAGGTTTGCATGGACTGCTTTGTTTTTCAAGGGTCAGGACTGCAGAGAGCAGCAGCTGAGACAAGAATGGTCCAAAGCAGGATTTCTGTCCTGAGAACAACTCTGGGATTTCAACAGTTCGTTTCAGGCTGGAAAAAAGCACAAATATCCAAAAGAAAAAAAGTTTCCACTTCCATTATATCAAAATGTTTCATCTTGATCCTCATAGTATCTAAAATAAGTACCCGAGCAAAATGCTTCCCCCTAGGGACACTGTCCAGCAAGTATTTTGGTTGAGCTATTGTAAGAGCACAAAGGAAATCTTTGATATCAAATTGAAATGATTTGGTTGTTTCTTCTAGAAAGCATTCCTGACATTGATCTGGGCCTGCAAAACTCTTAATCAAATCAGAGGTTTCGGCTGGAAAACCTCCACTGGAAGCTTTTGGCTAATACAGCTGTAAGATCTTGTGAGCATCACACACGACCATGTGAGGTTGCTCCTGGGGGGCAGATATTGTTGTGTTTCCTTTTTTGCTCATTTAAGTTTTATTGGGAAGGAGTGAACGACTCGTAGGGGGCTGGAGATGAGAGATCTGGAGATGAGAGATCTGGAGATCAGAACAGAGAAAGAGAAAAAGCTGTGGCTGGTTGGAAGAAGAGATTCCTGTAGCACAGAGGAGCCAGAAAGGTCATAAACCCAGCGTGTTATTTTCCTTTTGCAGGTACCTTTAGGCATGTGGGGAACCAGCTGCTCTTAGGAGGATGTGGCCTTTGGGCCTGCTAGGAGTGAGGAGGAGCAAAGCCACCAGCTCTGTGTGGTGCCAGGGGTGCATCCTGCACGGTGTCACTGACTGGGGCACCCTCTGAGCCAGCCGGGAGGTCCTCTGCCAGCAGAACAGGCTGTTCACAAGCTTAGAGACTAAGCCCCATTTAGTCCCTCATCCAAGTGGAGAAGAGATTTTTCTAGAGAACTCTGGGAGATCTGGCAGAGCTGGAGCCAGCTTCAATGTCAGGAAGAGCCTTGGGTCCAGGGAGCCAAAAACTGAGCCAGCAGTGTGCTTTGTAGCCAGGAAGGCCAATGGTCTCCTGGGGTGCATTCAGAAGAGTGTGGCCAGCAGGTCAAGGGAGGTTCTTGTCCCCCTCTACGCAGCCCAGTGAGGCCACCTCTGGAGTATTGGTCCAGTTCTGGGCTCCCCAGTTCAAGAGAGACAAGGAGCTACTGGAGAGAGTCCAGGGGAGGCTCTGGAGATGCTGAGGGGCTGGAGCATCTCTGTGCCAGGACAGGCTGAGAGCCCTGGGGCTGTTCAGCTGGAGAAGAGAAGCCTCAGAGGGGATCTGATCAGTGCTGAGCAAGAGCTAAAGGGCCCTGGGGGGCAAGAGGCTGGGGCCAGACTCTGATCAGTGGTGCCCAGAGACAGGACAAGGGGCAACGGGCACCAACTGGAACCCAGGAGGTGCCACCTGAGCAGGAGGAGAAACTTCTTTGGGGTGAGGGTGCAGAGCCTGGAGCAGCTGCCCAGAGAGGCTGTGGAGTCTCCTGCTCTGGAGAGATCCCAAACCTGCCTGGCTGTGACCCTGGGCACCCTGCTGGGGGTGAGCTGCTGGAGCAGGGGGTTGGAGGAGATGATCTCCAGAGGTCCCTTCCAACCCCTACATGACTGGAATTCTGGGATTACCTGTGCAAACCTCTGCTGCCTCCAGCACTGGGATGGCACCTCAGGGGAGACTCCCCACGTGGGCACTTGTCCCTCAGCAGGAGCCCCGTGACCCCCTGGGGCAGAGTCCTTGCCGCCAGCCCCCACCATCTCCTCCTCTTCCTCCTTCCCACAGCTCACGAGGGCGCCACTTGCGACCTGCTGGGCAAGATCTACCTCAACGGGGAGAGCTTCCAGCCCAGCTGCAAGCTGCAGTGCATCTGCATGGACGGGGCCATCGGCTGCATCCCGCTGTGCGCCGAGGACCTGCGGCTGCCCTCCCCCCAGTGCCCCAGCCCCCGGCGCGTCAGGATCCACAACAAGTGCTGCGAGGAGTGGACCTGTGAGGAGGGCACCGGGGAGAACCGCCTGGAAACGGCCATGGCAGGTGGGTGCTGGGCAGGTGGGACGGCACCAGCTCTGCTGGGGAGAGGGGCCGGATCCAAACTGTGCTTTGCCTTCGGGCCCTAAGTCACGTCGGGTTGGGAACTGAGGGGGACTGTTCCCCTCGTGCAGCAGGGTGTGGGTACCAAGCGTGGAACTCCAGACCATGGAGTCCTAATAGAAGATGTTAGTGATCATTGAGTCATTGGATCGTTTGGGTTGGAAAGGACCTTTCAGATCCTGGAGTCCAACCCTTCCCCATCCCTGCCAGGTCCCCACTGCCCCGTGTCCCTCACACCACATCTCCACAGCTTGGAAACCCCTCCAGGGGCGGGGACTCCACCACTGCCCTGTACACCCCTCCAGCGGAAGAATTTGTTGCTCAGCTCCAACCTCAACCTCCTCTGGGGCAACCTGAGGCCCTTTCCTCTTGTCCTGTCCCTTGTTCCTTGGGAGCAGAGCCCGACCCCCCCCTGGCTCCAGGCTCCTGTCAGGAGCTGTGCAGAGCCAGAAGGTCTCCCCTGAGCCTCCTTTGCTCCAGGCTCAACAACCCAAACTCTCTCAGCCTTTCCTCACAGCAGAGGGATTCCAGATAATTTCTATGGCCTCCTCTAGACCTGCTCCAAGAGTTCCATGTCTATCTCTTGTAACCTCACCTCGTACCTCTTCCACGTGACTCAGTTTTCAGGGAGGATCCAGCACAGAAGCCAGAGCTGAATAACCTGCAGGAGAACTGCTTGGTGCAGACCACGGAGTGGAGTGCCTGCTCCAAGAGCTGTGGCATGGGCATCTCTGCACGAGTGACCAACGACAACCCCCAGTGCCGCCTGGAGAAGGAGACCCGGCTCTGCATGGTCCGGCCCTGCGACCTCCCTGTGGAGAAGACCAAGGTACTGGGGCTTGGGAAGAGGGGACACAGCCCCACGAGTGCTGGGGATGCCCCAGACAGGCATGCAGACATCTCACAGGGTTCGCTCCGTGCTTCCACTTTTTCCTGCGTCCTCTTGCCCAGCGACAGGGACAGCGCGCAGGCCTTGGGGGGACCTTTCTTCTGGTTGTCATCTCCTCGTTAACCCCTCTGCTCTCTCCCCAGAAGGGCAAGAAGTGCGTGCGGACCCCAAGGCCACGCCAGAGCCTACGCTTTGAGTTCTCAGGCTGCACCAGCAGGAGAAGACCAAGGTACGGGGGCTTGGGAAGAGGGGACACAGCCTCACGAGTGCTGGGGATGCCCCAGACAGGCATGCAGACATCTCACAGGGTTCGCTCCGTGCTTCCACTTTTTCCTGCGTCCTCTTGCCCAGCGACAGGGACAGCGCGCAGGCCTTGGGGGGACCTTTCTTCTGGCTGTCATCTCATTAACCCCTCTGCTCTCTCCCCAGAAGGGCAAGAAGTGCGTGCGGACCCCAAGGCCACGCCAGAGCCTCCGCTTTGAGTTCTCAGGCTGCACCAGCAGCCGCTCCTACCGGCCCAGGTTCTGCGGGAGCTGCACGGACGGGCGCTGCTGCACCCCCGCCCTCCCCAGCACCGCCCCCGTGGAGTTCCGCTGCCCCGAGGGGGACTCCTTCCAGCGCAAGATGATGTTCATCAAGGCGTGCTCCTGCCACCACGACTGCCCCCGGGACAACGACATCTTCCTGGCCACGCACCACAGGAGGATGATCGGGGACCACGTGAAGACGGAGAGGCCGTAGCCCGCTCTGTGCCAGCGCCACCGCGGCGCTCTGCTGGCTCCGTGCCGGGACCACGCGGCCTCTTCCCCCTCTGTGAGGGGCTGTGCTCTTCAGAATGGCACTGGCTGTGGGCCACCACTAGTCCTGGTGGCCTTCCG